AAAGGCCAGAGGGACCAGGGCTGGGTGAGGTGGAATTGTGTGTGGGAAGCAGTTTGGGAGCAGGTATGGGATACTGAGGTCCTGTCTGGTGGGACAGATGTGTAGGATCTCTGTTGTGGGCCAGAGCAGGGGTGCTGTGAATGAGAAAGCAGGGAACTCCTTGGGGCACTCTGCAGAAGTGGTGGTCAGACTGCCTGCCCGTTAGGGGAGGAAGAGTTCAGACTACCACAGAAAAGAGGGGTCACAATCTAGGAGAGCTTTCAAAGGACTGATTTAAAAATGTACATATCTGCTAATGTAGGTATCATGGCTAAGAAATGTTCCGGTCCAATAAGGCATTAGTAAGTATCATACCTCCACTGTCCTGCTCTTCACAGCTCCTGTGCTTGAAGTTTGACTTCTTGGGTCAGGACCAAATAGGAGCAAGAGAGTTAAGTAGCACAAAGGGAAGGGTTTGATTTGGAAATCTATGAAAAGCTAATTTTAAGAATTACTGAGCTTCTTTGAGATGGAGCATTTATGCTGAATATCAGAAATAAGTAAAATAACTCCAGCTTGTCAAGACTTTATAAATAAATCTTTTGAGATCATTAGCTGGCACCCTCTCTGATTTTCTGAAGAAGTCCAGATGTTGATTTAGGAACAACTTTTATTTATGGTCCTGATTTTGTTGAGATTTTTTGGCCTCGTCTCCTGACAGGATCTCCCTCCTGTGGCCTGCCCAAGCAGCAAGAGTGTCGAGCACCCTAGAGGATTGAACCACATATGTGTATACTCTTGAAAGTCAGCTCAAAGACAGTAACAGAATTGGACTAATGCTTAAATACCTGCAATTAATAGCTTTCTTGGAGGGTGAAGAAGCAGGTTATGTCATGTTAAATGGCTGCTGCAGTAATGTCTCATGCTGACTATCATAGTGGTACAGCTACAGGAAACTCAAGTTTGAGAATTGCTGCTGAGATTGAGTCTTTATGTTGACTATCTGCTCAATCAGTTATTACTGGACAGTCATGTTTTATCTAAATTGTAATATCTCTACAAAGGAGGACAGGGACAGATTTAAGCAAATTATGTAATTATTTGATACATGATTTAATGTGTAGTGTTTAACTAGTGTGAAAGTTGGCTTCCATTTGGAAAGGCACTATGAAACACTAGGAAATTTTGGTCCTTTGTCAGCAGGCCAGGGAGATGCTGTTTTTTTTCTTGGCCCTTGTTAGTTTACAGGATCAGGCAGTTACATGAAATTGATGTGTACTCAGTGTGGGTGGGTTGCACTGGTAGGTCTTAAGGAAGCTTATTCACAACTTTCTTGTACTTCCTTTATTGATCACTCTTAATGTATGGGATGTAGACATTTAACTGATTTGGTTCCAAAGTGGCTGCAGCTTCACTGTATTAATCAAATTTACCCCTCCACTAATTTCTTGAATACTAGAATCCTGGAATTTTCTTTTTAAACAATGTATTGCTACTTGAAAATACAGATTTGTGTTAAAAGAGTATGAACTGCTTCTGTTTTGATGCATTTTAACATCAAGTCCTCCTTCTTTCTGCAGTCTGGAGAATAGCTTTCCATGTGTTTTTCTTCTGATTACTACATTTAGAAAATTGAGGTGCCTTCCAACTCAGAATATTCTGTCATTCTTAGGTATTGAGCAGCAGGTCCCCATCATATCACCAGTCTTTGGAAACCAAAAAGAATAACTTTTCCTGCTGATTGTTGTGATTTGCTCCATGATGTTTAGAGACTTGTAAGTAATACTGCTGGATATAGATGTTGCCCAGATGTAAGACTGAATTTCTTTTTAGTGTTTTTACTCTTGTGAAAAAGCAGTTTTGAGAATTCTCATTATATTTTAATCAAATCTCTACCTAGGGAGAGGCTAAAGGAAACTGTATGAAAATAATGTGTAAGTTAATCTCTCCAGCTGTAATACAGCAATACAGTGATTCAGATTAATGCCAAGTATTTTTGTTTGCTTGTTTTTAATAGAGGATATCTTGCCTCTTGGCTCTTATAGCATGCCTTTAATGCTATGTGAACCAAACAGGTAAATACAGATGATAGAGCTTTCCTCCTTTTTTATGTAAGTTTAGTATCAAAATGTTTAAGAAAAATGTAACAAAAAGGAAAGTGAACCATGCAAATGTGGTGATTTTAGAGAAGAAGTAGTCTTTATTTTTATATGATCCATAACAACTTCATAACATTTCATGAAATTGCTGTATTAAAGAAGGGCAAATATTCCCAGGCCAGGTCCTAGCCCTGCCTACACAACAGCACACAGTGAACTGTATGGAAGAGATTGTTAGTCAACTGAATACTGCATTTACAGAAACAGAAGGTATCATAGAATAAATTGATGACAAACTGAGAATATAGTAGATTTTGGTTCAGAGGATATTTGGAGCAGAAATTTTCTTGATTCACTGTTTATTAGCCTTGTTTCCTATTAGGCATAGGCTACCTTTGTAACAGAAGGATATTTCTATCTGCATTGCCTTCCAAAAATATACTTGTCCCAACAGAATTCTATGATATTGCCGAGAGCTGGGAACAGCCTACTTGCAAGTTGAGTGTTTTCCTAAAAGACTTTTAACTTGTTGATGACTTTATTTCTCATTCAGGAGGGAACATCTTGATGCCTGGATCTAGAGTTCTCTGGTTTTTGTCAGTGGCTGGTATTCAAGAACACCACAGCTTGCCAGCAAGCTAAACTAATGGCAGACTACAGGGTAAATCACCCTGCCTACCCTACTGCTGAAACTGGCTATTCATACTAGACCACTGAAGTGGCTAAATTGTTGTTTAGCATTTTCCACAATTTAACATGCAAAGTATTTTGTCTTCTCATTTTCACAGTCAGAGCCTTATTTTTTAAGTAAGAGGACTAAAGTAATAACTGTAAACCATTTATTTCATTACCTCTCTTTCATCATCCTGAAGCTGCTTGGGGAAGATGGATAAAAATGTTTGTTTCCCCCATACATCCTGGCAGCGCTGACACAGGATGAAGAGTTTCCCAGTAATTCGGAGTGTAGAAGTTGAAACCAAATTTAGTGAACTCATAAATAATTCTGAACAGCCTGCACAAGGAATTGGTGGGGCTGAGGGACTGTAGAGCATCTTAGGGATATGGTGCTTCCTCTTGAACAGAGTTCACTGTGGGAATGTTAATGCAGCCTGTCATTCTTGGAATTAAGGTTCACCAATGTGCAAGTGAAGTATGTCCTGTTTTGAGAGCTTTAGTTGGAGCTATGTAGGCTTCAGGTGAGTTGCTGATCCCCTATTGGTAGTGGGATTCAGTGCTCTTGAGTATGTCCTCTTACAGCATATATGCATTCTTTTCTCTTACTGTCCCAAAAGTATTTGGGTAGATAAAGTCGTATTATTGAAATGTCAGTCTGAAACGTCTGAAAACATTGAAATCAAATTGTTATTTGAATGTCTCTCTCTAGTGTTAATGTTGCTCAAGTAAAACATTTCACACAATGTGAAAATCTGAAAAGCGCGCCTAATGCAATACACCTTCAGTGGCAGAGAATGTGATGTGACTGTCATGACTCATTCTTTGCTTTGGAAGTTCTATTTTAAGAGTAAAAATTACGTTTTTTCTAAGTCATTCTCTGATATGACAGGTGAGGAGTTAGGAATCTGTTTCAATATTTATAAACCTGAGTATTAAAACTCTACTGGGAATGTGCAACGCACCAGTTCACAGAATTTTCTTCTAATTTGACAACTAAGAACCCTGTTATCACTTTGAAATCTTTAGCATTTTCTATGCTAAACTGTTAATAAGTAAAACACTTAGACTAACAAATACATTGAGCTTAATGAAATTTTTATGCATTTTTAGTCATCCACAAAACCAAAGAAGTTTTGGTGTAGGTTTGCTTGCTCTTTGACTTCCCCATTTGTTGGGGTGCTGTGTCTGCTGAATTCTCAGCACCCAGGATAACAAGGCTTATGTAGTGATGTTTTCTGTATCCACATCCTTTTAATTCTGATTTCCCTGTTACTTTTGAACTCGAGCCCTTTTCAGACATTGTTAATGGAGGGGGGGTAGAAGGGGGGAGTAGTTCCACAGATTGTTTCCCATAGGCTGTTTACTATAACTGGCATTATTGTTTTAATCAACAAGCAGTGTGGTAGAGAAGTAGGGAAAGAAAATAGTATGAGATTTGATTGTCCTGAACAACAGAAAATCCACATGAAAGACTAAATATTTGAATTTGTTAATCATGGGAAAAGTTTTGGTAGGGTGGGAAAACAATTTTTACTAAAGACTGCAAGCCTGCGAGACAGACCCATTGAAAACCACACAATAGTAATTCCTCTGATTATGGAGGCAGAAGGAAGAATGAAATAGTTCCTTATTTCTAAGAACTGTAGAGAAGCTATTCCTGTAAGGCATGCTTCCAGGCAGTTATTTCATCCTGTGAGCAAGTAATGATAAAAATGTCTGTTGCGTAGGATCTAACACATAAATGTGATTCTGTGTTGAAAGCTTCTGAAGCTGAATTGACATCACATTTGTTAATTTTCTCTTTATATACTGAGTGCCACAGTAGCCGTGGTTAGCAGGGAAATGAACATCTACAGACCAGAAGATTATAGTTGCCGAAGGATAAACTGGATTTGACTTCATTAGTGCACAAATGATAAGTTTGTGAGGAGTTATTATAGCATTAATCAACTTGATGGATTGGAAATATGACAGAACTGAAGCAGCGTGTAATATTAGTGCCTATTATTCTACAAATTATGTCTTCACCTACATTCATAAGGCAAGAGTCATTGCTGCACATTAAAGATGTTACACACTTTCTCCTCTTGTGGAGATAAGTGACAAGCCCTCAGTGATGCCTCCTTCTCTCTTCCCCAGCAGGGCTCTGGTCTCCCTTAACTGCAAGCTTGCACCTTGGAACTAGCTGAAGGCAGCAGGGGAGCTCCTACTTGAATTTAGCTTGTACCTGATGAGCCTGGACCTCTTACTTAAACTTCTCTCTTCTTCAGAAATAAATGTGTCATATTCTAGACATCTCGGAAGAGGGAGAATGAGTAGAAGTTGTAAGGTATGGGACAGATAGGGAATGGGTATTTAATGATTTGATTTCCAGAGTATTGCACAAGTGTTTGTACCACTGATGTTGCGGAACATGATCTGCATGAAATTCTGAATGCATACTGCAGAATTTGTTTATTTTCTAGGATATAGGTAATAACATGTGAATCTTAATGTGAAACTGTTAATTTTCAAATCCTTTCTTTATAGAAGCAGTGAAATCAGTTTGTATGCTTTCCATACAAAGAACTAAAGACTTTGGTTCAAGGCTTGTGAGCATGTGTCTACCGCATCCAGACATGGTCAGAGTTGTGACCTCACTCTGGAGACTGACAGGTGCCAAGTACAGGGTATATTATTAATTTTCTTACAACAGCTGAAATTTGGAGTTCCAGGTGTACTCATAGTGAAGGCTGAGATTTTAATTTGGCTATTTTTCCTTGTTTAATTTACATGTTAGAAACATATATTAGTACACAACTAAACTGTGTATGTATAATCTACTTGTATTTTAGTTTATAGCATGGATATATCATGCCTTAGCAGCAGTGTGGTTTTGGATTCTGTGTGCCAAGAAGCTGGTGGGGGTGTGTGTGTGTATTATTTCTGTTTCTCCATGGCTGCATATAGTTTAGTGCCAAAATCAGACTGGAATTACAATCTGAATTTTTTGGAATGTACCTAGCTCTTTTGTTTGAGAAGAAGTTTGCTTGATTTTTGTAGTCCAGAAATATTTCAATTATGTGCTTGTGTAAAAAATAGGTGACTTCCAGTTTAGGCTGAAATCTAAGAATTAGTTATAAAGCTGACATTTCAGCTTCAGTCAGAAGAGGATCAGGCAAAAAGTTTCAGTAGGAATGGGCCCATGCAATTGAAGTTCTCTGTACCCTTTTGGGCATGTAGAAGGGATGTTCTCACTGTTTGGCTGGAGCATTTACAAGATCATTGTAACTTTGTTACTTAGTTACTTCTGTAAGTATCTCAGAGTCCAGAACTGATAAGTTTGCTAAAATATAGTAATAACATTCTTAATTTCCTCCTTCCATTTGCTCCTGCAAGACTTCAGTGTACTTGAAGAAACGTATATTTGATAAATTATTTTAAATGCTTAAGGTAGTACTGCAGACACTATCTTAGATTCTTTTTATTTAAAGATGTAAATGTACTTCCACCTAAGAATTTTTACTTCAGGGCAAAACTTTAATGGCGGGGTGTAAAACCAATATCTGCTACAATAAAACATAAAACATTTTTCCATGACACTTAAATGTGATTAGTTGCTTTCTCATGCCCATACTAGTATCACTCTGATAGGCTCTATGCCTTAATGTTAGAGGCAGTGACCCTCACAAAACTGTGTACAGTGTTTTAAGCTTTACATTCTGTGTGACTTCCATAAGAATTAATACTTCATGAGCATCCAAAAGGAATGATAGAAAATTCTTCACTTTTTCTGTTTGAGTTCTAAAGGCAAAGATGCAAAGCCTTATTTAAGCCAGTGACATATTTATGCTTGATCCACACATAGCTATTTATATACATTATTGCTTTAAATAATTTACACGATTAGAACATAAACTTTGTTTACAAAAGGCTATTTTGGGTAGAATGCAAGGTTTGAAATTATATTTAAAAACAGATTTTTAATCAGACATTAACAAGGAATGTAGTGAATACAAAAAATGTGATGAACTGTTGCCTTTATGCTACCATTAACAGTAAATTGGTACTGATTATTATTTTTGCCTTCTCTTACATTCATATGGTGTATGAGTGATTACATGCAATGGTTCTCAACTGGAGGATGTGATTGTCTTTTATTTCCTTGCCTCATTTTTTTAACAACTGCTCAACTGTTTTGAACTGATGATTCAGTTTCTTGAATGCATATTGACATTCCCTTTTTAGGGTTGAGCAGTACATAACTTAAAGCTACAGGCAGCTCTGGTCATCCTGGTGGGCAGAGTTCTGACATGCCTGGGCTCCTGGCTCTGTGGGTATTACATAGGATTATAAGGACACAACTTGAAAAGGCAGAAAGCTTTTCTATTTTCCTAAAGCATTCTTCACATGTTGGAGGTTTGTGCTTCTTTCCTCTGTGTCTTGATCTCTTCTCTCCAGATTTATTAGTTTAGTATCTTAATCAATAGTTGCTCCTGGGAGTGGCCAGGATGGGAATGTGCATAAGGATATCTTTATGGTGGAGGGAAAATAGCTGCATCAGTTGCTTCAGAATTACAAGGCTATTCTGTAACATAGCTTGAATTTTTGCTCTTCTTGCAACATTACATTCTGGGACTTTCTTCTCCATGATGTCCCTCTGTGAGCAGCAGAGAAGTACAGGAGGAGAGCATGTCAGTGGGACATTTTTAGAGCAGGCTAAATATTGCATCATTATCTTTGCAGTCTAAGTTCTTGCTCTGGGTAACATTTGTGCTCCATTAGCATTTATAAGGACATTGGTATTCAGCTTGCTTAATTAATTTCTTCTCTTTCCACAGCCGCAGAGCCTTGGCCTGAAAATGCTGCACTGTATCAGCAACTGAAGGGTAGGTACGCTGTTTTTGGCAATTAATAATTACTTTATTTTTAGAAAACACATTAAATATGCACTAAGATAATTAATTGCAAGGAAACACAGAAACTGTTAAAATAGTCCTTTGTGTTTTTTTTTGTTTGGTCAGAGGTTTTAGTTATGCTTGCATCTGCCAATATAAACTAGCTATTCATGGCCTATAAGGTCCTTGGTTTATTATTGACTCATTATATTGGCTGCTGTAGCCAGTGTAAAATGATGTGGTTGCAGGCACAGTTGGCAGATTTACTGCACCAATAGCTGAGGCAGCAGATTTTTGAAGTCCTGTGGTAAAGTGGGCTCTCAGTAAAAAGGAACTGTTAAAATGTATAGGCTAGGATGGTTCACTCTCCCTTTAGCAGCTCTTCATATATCATCAGATCACATTATGGCCCCCATTTGGGGCTCAGCAGCCTGCTACAGTTGTCAGAAGACTGCAAAGTAATGAAGACTAATAGGTAGCAGCTCTAGTCTTCTAAGCATGGAATTTTTATTGCAGTGAACTTGTCATCTTTCTTTTGCGTGACAGACCTAGACACAGTGTGCAATATTAGCTGCAAGCTGCTTTTATAGGTTTCTGAATACTTCTACTTTTTAGCCAGAGGAGGTATGAAGATGCGATTTTATTTAACTTTGATTAGAAGGAGAGTAATTGGCATAAAAGTCAGGCATTTGGGTTTTTTTCTTGTTTGTAGTGTTTTTTATTGAACATTAGTGGTAATATATGATAAGTGCAATTGCATTTGTGGGAGAAAAATTCCTGGTATTTTTTTCCTGTTTTTTAATATTCATATTATAGATTTTCTAGTCCAGCTGCATAATAATTATATATGTGCTCCTTCTTATGCTCCTTATGCATAAGAAATGCAGCCAAGTATGGCTTACAGTTACAGATCAGTAGCTAAATGGGCACTGTTTTTTTTGTAATTGTATGGTTTATTTTTTTCTTCTTTTTTTTCTTTCAACAGAGGAACAAATTTTGCTTTCTGATAATGCATCTTCCCTTGCTGTTCAGGTAAAATATCATATTTTCTAAAGATGTTAATGCCATTTTATGTAATATAACTATATTTATTGAAAAGATTAATTTAAGAATTATTTCTGCCAAAACGAATTACTTCCTGCCTCTGATTTGCTTTATGTTATCATTGAAGTGCCAGAGCCTAAATGATTTGAAGATTTTGAGAGTCCTATGTAGAATGCTGCTCCTTGTATTCCTGTTTGTATTGGTCTGTGTAGAAATCTGCTTGCCTACTTACTCTGGGAACTGTGCATGGTTCATACTTTTTGTTACTTGCTATGCATGTTTGTCTTGTAGCATCTTGCATGATGTTTGTCATTAAATTCTCATAGCTAATACTATGCCCAAATATGCTCAAACCCAGGGCATATTTGCTTCATGCTGTGAGCATCACATCTTTCCATGTCTTTGGTAGGTTTTCTCAATTTCATCATGTGTACAGACTAGAGCTCTAATGTGGTTTTTAGAAATAGTCCATATAATTGACAAACTTGCACCTCTAATTGACTTAGTAACACCTCTGTGGCTGTGAAGTTCATGTAATCTTCATTAACCTGTAAGGTTCAGTAACCCTAAATCTCAAGGGGACGTTTTCCCTGTTAGTAGCAAAGGCCTGGATGTCAGAGTGGTGGGGAGTAGGATGTCTGTAAGGTTCTTATCCTTCAAAGCAATTTTGTGGCTGCTTTGCTTAGCAGAGAGTTGCACTGTTGTCCTGGTGTGATCTAGCCCAGAGAAGTTTCAGCAAGCAGTCTTTGAGGGCTGCCCAAAGAGGTCACATATCATTTACCAAAAATGAGTCACCTGGAGATTGTAACTGATGTTACTTGTAAAAAGATTAGGATCACTTGATCATGGTAGCTACTTCCAGGATCTCTTAACTTTTTTCCTTCCAGTCTGGTACTCTAGGAGATAGCTCTAAGAGTGAATTTGATCACAGGAAGAAGATAGTTTATCCATTGCTGGAAAAAGGAATCACCTCTGATACACCTAATAAATGGGGCAGTATTTATTTGTTTGAGTAGTATGTTTTATATTGATCTCAATGTTCCTTATTACCCCAACAGTTGTATTTTTGGGGGTTCTCATCTCATTTTTTCCCATCTAACAATACATGTATATGTGGCTTGTATTTAAAACACAACCCACCCCCCCCATCTCACCAACAAAATAACCCTAAAATTTCCTTTTCTAATGCATCATTTTTCTTTACTGTTTCTAGTACATTGTTATCCTACACATGTCACTTAGATGATAAATTAACTATAATATATTAAAAGTCCTTGTTTTTCTTCAATATTCTCTAGCTGGACAGCTGATAGTAGCCATGACTATAAATATGGCTCTGGTAGATATCTGATCTTAAACTTTATAGAATAATTGTGTATTGAGGAATCGTATCAATTTTGAAGAATCTGTGTAACATGGTTGTGACAGGGAAAGGATAACTATTCTTGGTGTCTTTGATCCATTCTGAAACAATACTAGAATATATATTGATCAGAGAGGTTTAAATACATCGGTGTATTTTGCATAAGGAATTTGCTTTTTATTTTAATGAGAGCTTGTTTGTCTGTTTATTGGTTTTGGGTTTTTTTAAGGAGATGGTGGGCACTGGGGGATGTGTGTCTTTCTCAAAGGAATATTTGGGAATGAGGGATATTAGGAGAAACAGGAGCTGGTACCTGGGACTTCTTTCCTACTACTGTCACTGTTTTTCCCCCTCTTACTGATTTGGGGCGCATCAATATCACCAGAGCAGCTACATACCTTGTTTGTGGTTGTTGAACTTTCATGTGGTGAAAACATCAGAAATTTGAGTAGAAAGAGCATGTGGAATCAGCCAGCATCAAATATTTAAGAAACATGGTTTAACAGCAAGACATTTAATGTGCCACAGCCAGACTTTCAGGTATTTTATAACATCTCCTTGTAGCACCTCTTTGTAAAGCTGCTCTCAGGTCTCAGAGGGACATACATGCTGATATCTACACATAAAATAACACATATAGTCAGACTAAAACTTGACTGTTTCAAAGTTGCCAGTCCTGTAACACAGATGGCATTTCAGCTACTGCTTGTTAACAGAGCAGATCAAGCAGACAGCAGAGCAAGCTACTCTCACTGCAGATGTAATTGATGAGTAGAGAGGGCTGCAGGCTGAATATAGGAAGTTGGTTGAGTCTGGCTGTTTTAATAAGGATTTGACTTACGACTTCTCATTGTGCAATAAAATCTGGACTCTTGTCCAGCCACATGTCAGATGAGAGAAGGAATGACAGAGTCTTCTGGGAATTGCTGAGTAACTGTGCTGATGCCTGTAGTAGTTCAAAACCAACCAAAACTCGCTCATCTTGAGGAACTTCTCTGTTGATTCTGGTAGGGTTGTTTATTTGTTTCTTTTAAATGAATCTTCTGCTCATTGTTTATTTTGGAAACAGACTAATTTAGCAATTTCTTTGTCTTTTACTGGGTTCAGATTCTTAGTATTTTCTGAAAATACAACATAACTTCAACTAGCAATGCATTATCTCTGGTATGTCTTGGTGTTTGCACTTCTTGTTTGTTAACTTGAAGTAGTGTATTATACAGCAAAGTCCACTTGATCTTGGGCTGCAAAGCCTTGATACTGAATGAAATGTTATTTTCACTGCAATTAATTAAAATCAAGGGAAAATACTAATCATTAATGATTATCCAGCTATTGAAAGGAGATTGTAACAGAATGAAGGCTCTGTTCTTGTGAGACCCTCAGCCCTCTTCCCATCAAGGTTAATGAAAACATACCTTCTGGGTAACATGACACATGGTTAAAACCATTCTCCATGTATTTACTGTGCAACTACCATTATACAGCATTCCTGTTTATCTGGCTTATCATAGTGAAAAAAAGCCACCAAAACCAAAACCCAAATATATCTCAATAACAAAACAATGCTACAAGTTTAAGGAGGGAAAAATGGAGTTTGAAGTAGATTAAAATAGAATTACCATAGGAGAGTATATTTCAGTCTGAAGCAGAGGGTCTGTCCAGGCTGTCTCCTTATTGATGCCTGGTGCAGGTAAAGCCATTTTGTTTAGTGCCTGGCCAAGTAGGAGGGAATGGGTTAATACAGCTGCACTCTGCCAGGCCTCTTGCCTTAAATGGCAGCTCAAAGCATCTTTTGCACTGTTCCAACTTGTCAGGAAGAGGAATGTGGGTGTTGAGACTGCCTCTCTTATTACAGGTTCTTCTGGAATCTTTATGCAGTTAGTCTCATAGTCTTGCTCAAAAGGCTGTCTAAAATGTTCAGAATTCTGGAAATTCTGACAGCTGTCCTGAGGTTAGAGAGCCTGCAGGTCATTTAGTTAAGATATATATTAATTGCTTGTGCAGTCAATGTCCTTGTAAGTGGTCTTAACATATTCCAGGGAAGTGCTTTTAAAATTGCCTGTTCTTGGACCTGAATGACAGAAGGAAGTTTGGGCAATTTAAAATTATGTTATACAGACCAATTGCTTATTTATTTCAACAAGTAATCAAATAAATGTGTAAATCATACGTGATTAATTGCCCTTGACAGATTTGTGATTTTTTTTTTTCTCTCTGTGTGTGTATGAATTGTGGTTTGGTTTTTCTCTAGACAAAACATTGGCAGAAATTTGAACTTGTTGCTGCAGTTTTCAAAACAAAAGCTTGGTACTGAAATGAAAATCTGCCAATCCCTCTTTTTAAAAAGAGAATAAAAGCTGGAATTCTTCATGATGAGAAATGCAGTATCAACATAATCCATCTTGCAACATTGTGTTGTTTCTGAAAACATGCTTAAATCCCAAGCTATACAGGTACGGTTTGTGAGTGAAACATCTTTCATATAGTTCTAAGATGAAATTACCTCTGAATGAATAGAATCCTCATTTATCTTCAAAACCTCTGTGCTACCAGTGAATCCACTCTTTCTGCATTCTACAGCAAGAATTACATTACACCATTAGAGCCAGTGCCATGATGCAGTATAAAATAGATTGTTTTGGAGAATGAACGTGGCTTTGCTATAAATTACATTCACAGGTACAGAGGAATTTGTTATTTTGTTTAAAATAGTCACAAATATAATTAAGATCTTAATTTATGTTAAACTACACATGTGGCCATTACCATAACTGGATTAGGAATTTAATCTGTCACTCAAGCAATGATACTGAACAGTTTTCATTTATAACCTTAGACACACTATTTCAGTTACAGGGACTGCAGCTGTTTGATATGAAAACTGAATTATTCTGTAGATTTCTTCATGGGTTTTAATTTTAAAATGTGTTCCTGCAGTAAAGTAGAGAATAACTCTTTAGTTGTCATCACATACTGTCCGTTGTATGCTCATGAAATAACATAAAAATGAAAACAGAAAATGCATTTCACGCCTTCTTCCTAACAGTATGTTGTGTGAGTGCCTTTAGAAGTGCTGCTGAATAAGAGATGGCTTGGAATGGCTTGTTCTTTATTAAAAACTAATCATGAATATATCTTCTTCAAATGAAGCTTGGACTGTGCCATCTGAAAATAGTGTTCCTCATGTGGCAACGTAAATTGTGAGCTATTTGAGTCTTGGCATAAGTAATTTCATTCTTGCCTCTGATCTCAGAAACTGCAATCTGGATATGATTTACTTCAAGTTGTAACTCATTTTTAATGAGTGTATGTGTTTGCTCGTATGTGTTTTTCTGGGAGGAAGCTGTAGGGGAAGAGGAGAGCGTTGTGATGGAGCTCTGACAGGGTGATTTGCTGCCCAATGCGTGTCATGTGTCCAACTGACGGTGCCCTTAGCTGGCAGGGCAAAGAGAAAAGGAGAGCAAGAGTGAAAATCACACCTAAACCAATTAACTCTAGGAATAAACAAAAAACCTCTCTCCCTTCTCCTATGCCTTCCTATTGTATTTCATGCACAGTCACTTCCCATATTTGTCATCAGAGGAAGACACAATGGCACCCCTTTCTTGCATTGTTCCGGGGGTGGCAGCAGTGGAGATGAGAATTTCAGCGAGAAGAGGAGGGTGGGGAGGAAGGAGGAAGGGAAGGGTGGGGTGAGTTGTCCCATGTCTAGCTGTGGTTTCTGGGCTCTGGGCTTTTGAACTATGCCAAATCAGCTCAAAGGTGATTGCTCTGATTGTTTTTTTAGATAATTGAAATCCAGCATTCTACTTATATTTTGAATTTTAAATTGGGTGGGCTATAAGAAGAAGCAAGCCTTACATGGATTGTGTCCTTTAAGTAATGCTGTTGTAAATATACTCCATAATTCTGGCAGGAAGTGTCACCTGCCATGATTGAAATGAATGATAGACATAAGATATTTGATTAATTTTGTAACAAGTGTCACCTCAAAGCTTCCTATCAGCCCTGTTCACATAGTTACCAATACCTCATTCTCTCACAACAAAAACATGAACTTGGTTGTTCCACCTGATTTTGAAAACAGTGGCTCATGCACTTCTCTGTAAGTATAAGGCAGTTCAATACAAACCATAGTCCTGTGTGGGTCAGTGTGCAGTGGGGCAGGAAAGGCACCGAGAGGCTTCCCCATACTTTCTTCAATTCATTGCCCACAACTCTTTCTTCCCTACTCTGTAACAGTAAATACTGGGAGGCTTGGGGAGGACAGACATTACTGGTTGCATCTGTTTGCCTCCTTCTCATCCCTTTCTCCTCAAGGATGTGCAGAAATCTTCCATCTCTCTCTGCAGCAAAGTCTCCCATTAAAAACAACGTGCACAGGGGCAGTAGCAGCACTGTAGAGTCAATGTTTTCAGTATGGAAAAAAGAGGTGTCATTGCCAAAAATGTTTTTTTCATATTTCTTCCTTCACTTTCTAGGCGTTAGGTAATGCTACAGCTGGAGAGGCTGGAAGAGTGTGAGAGAGGAGACTGTTAGACTGCAGGAAAGAGGCAAGAAAGCATGTGTGGGAGAGAAACTGACAGACCCTATTAAGCTAAATCTTTATTTTGTAATGCCTTTATCTGTTTCTTACATTAACCTCATCCAAATAAAGGATACAGTCTGTATCTGGTGCTGGAGGAGATCCAGGTTGAAGCCTGTAGTATCGCCCTCTTTGTTCTTTGGTAGTACACATTTTTTTCCAGAGGAGAAGGGAGCTGGAAATTTAATGCTGTTACTTGGAGCTGTTATTAGGAGCTACAGGCATATTTGTGAGGTGGGGTGGGCTGTGCTCATTTAAATGTCTTGTTTCTAGTTTTGCTGTTACTTGCTTGCCATTTTCTGGTGAATTTTCACAAAGGTATCATTAACTAGATGGTATGTTACTTGAAATTCGGTTGACCCCTTTCAGTCCTTTTTTAAATTGATCAGCCAAATTTAGGATGTTAACAATAATCTCTAATGTGCTAGAATAAGCCTGGGCCCTTGGTCTTTCAGATTGCTCAACTTTTGATGCTGTGTCTTTGAAGGGGTGTTGATATCTTCATAAATCTCAGCAAAACTGCACTGGGGTGGTTTCAGCCTTCAATCTCTTGCCCAAAAGCACTTAGAGGAGCTGAGCACACTCCCATCTGCTCACAGAAAAAGATTTCTCTCACAAGAAAAGCAAGGGTAACTTTCTCAAACTGCGTATGTGAGGTACCCAAAGGGAAACAAGATGTTCTGAGCTGAAGTAATCAGTGTTCCGTGGCATCTTTTATCAGAGTTGGAAGCCATGGTGGTCTCATACCATCTGCACACCAAATGTGCTGGTTCTTGACATTCTGTGTGAGTGGTCAAAAAGGGAACAAATCCTCCCTTGATCACTAGGCTAAAGCTTGTGATGAGATAAAGACTCAGAGAAATTACTGCTTTGTCCTATATTCTCTCTCTAGGATTTCTTTGATCTGTTCCAGTTTCAACTATTTTGGTAATAGTTCATGCCACTTACTGTCTAATATCAGTTATTGTCTAATATCTAGCATACCTAGTTGAACACATCAGAAAAAAAATTCTGTCAATGAATATTTATAGGAATGCATTGGTCATGATCCTTGTCCATGTTTTTTTTTCCTAAAAGAAACTATAATTTCCATAAATATGGAATGCATTCACTGTACTTAAAAAGTCAAAACCACCTGACTTGTTAATGCTAATAATTTCCAAAGCCAGTGAAAGAATGTAAGTAGTCATAGTCATGCAAATTGCAAGGCTTATTTCTTAGGCTGAGCCCTCCTAATTTGGGATAACACTATTGCCTTTTACTGATTCACATGAATATTTTAGTTGACTTGAAGGGTGTCCAGTGGACCATTAGTTTAAGTTGAAGCAAGAAGTAGATACTGGCCTACTTCTCTAGTTAATGATTAGTTAAGCAGTGTAGATTCAATAAGGATTAAAATTGTTTTATACTGTGGACCTTTCCTTCATTTTGCTGCAGAACATTACGTAAGGAGCACTTAAAGTTGAGCAGGTCATGGTTTGGATACCAGTTACAGCTCATAACAGACAGACATATCGGTCTTTTTATTCCCTGGGCTTCTAACTTTTAAAAGAAGTAATGGCAGGGTTTTGTTAAAAAAATCTTTCCTAGGTTTATTGTGTTTTATATTTAGTTTATACTATTAAAATTTTACATAGTATATTACATATTTAGGTTTATTTCATCACTTATCTTAAAACCAATCCTATATGTAGACAAAGGCTGAAATGGAACAGGTCTTGGCATGGGGATGCTGAAGGGGGTTGCTGGAAGAAGCCTTGTAAAGCTGCTGAAGGGGCAGCTCCAGTAGGCAGTGGTCACTGTTTCAGAACCTCACAGGAAGCCTGATGTGGTAAATACAGTATTGGATGGGTTTATCCAGTTTTAAGCCTGAATAATTCTTCTTAGTGTCAGTCCTGGTCTCTCATTTAATGAAGCATTCATCAGAAGTGAAGGTGACTGTTCCAAGAAAGTTTTCTGAGGTTTTTGATTTGGTGTTTACCGAATCAAATCTATAGGGTCTTCTTAAATTTCTTTTTCATTTTGATTTTTTTAACTAAGGGTAGACGAAATGATTTCTAACATTACTAGAATCTGTGCTCTATTATGAAGAGTAGCAAATGTTAAGGTTAAGGTTGCTTTCATGTGTGTGATTAGAGTCTGAGCAGCTAAAGCTGTGAGATTGTGATTTACTGCCAGATCCTGCCATCTGAAGAGCAGGGAGGAGGAGGCTTGTGTAGAAAGTGCTGTGTTACAGCACTATTTTTCTTCATGGTGGGAGCTTTGTTGCTCTAGGCTGTTTTTACCTCAAGTCTCATTGTATAAATAGGCAATAGAATAATTTTGGAATCTGGACTTGTAACATGTCTAATTGCAGACACAAAATTAATGATAGGACTGAGCTGAGTTGTAAGAGTCTTAAGTGAGTAAGAGATTCTGTATTTGAAATGTTCTGTCCAAACTGCAAATATTTATTTGTCTTGACATTTTGGTATTTCAACAGAAATAGCCTGTGGATTTTGTGGTAGTGGCAGGTGCTGACAGAAATTGTTATCCTTCTGAGAAAGCTTTGAATCTAAGAACACAGATAGAAGGAAATGGTAAATTGATCACTTATGCCCTCCATGAATCCCATAAATTAAAAAAAATACTTTGTCCCAAACCAGACTTGTGCTTTGACAGTATCACAGAGCAAAATTTCTGGCAGCTATTGTAATTATAATGTGGGAAGGTGCCATATGTGTTTGCCATGTTACATAACGTTACCTTGACTAGCCAGCTTTAGCCAGGAGAAATGAGTATTGTGGTTTTTAAAAGGGGCAAAATGTCACTCAGTTTCAGCCACAGCATTAATTGTGTCTGTCAGATACTGCTTCTTTCCCCATCTCGAAAAAACAGATGAAACTGCATTAGAAGAATTCCTGTCAGTGTTTGAATGATAAACAGTTGTCTAATGAAATTAAAATGCCTTTGTTTTACTTATCCTTCTTCTTTCTTCCTAAAAACAGTATGCAAGGAACTATACTTCATAAGTGTGTGCTGGGAACCAGCTAACACAGGCAAATGTACTGAGAGCAGCACATTTGTTTGCCACTGGTGTATGAATGCTTTTCAAATGCGACTCTTTGTTTCCAGGCCTTCTTGCAAATGTGCAATCTGCCAGTCCGGGTGATTTGCAGGGCAAACGCTGAGTACATGTCCCCATCTGGTAAGTGTGGCCTTCATTTAGATTACTGTGTTACACCTCCATTTTGATACCATGGCAACTGGGCCTTGTCTTGCTGATAACAGCCGGGCAGTGCTACTGTGTGTGGGTTGCCTTTCCCCCTCCTCTCCAGAGCAGTTTCTCCTCTGCAAGAAATCAAAACAGTGAAATGCAAAGTAACATTGGCACAATGTGTAACAGTACCTGTGTAAAGTGTTCACACAGCTCAGTGGCTGATGGAAACCTTCTCTCAAAATGTCCTAAAGCAGAAAGACATGTGTCCAAAAATGGCTTTATTCTGCATCCAGGGAATATTCCAGGAAATGCTGTTATATTTTCCTATTGCTGGAGTGAAACAACACTGGAGAAAGGTTTGCTTTTGTTACTCTGTGTGGGAGTTGATTGCCAGGATACAGGAGACCAAAGGGTACATTTTCACTATTAAAGGTGGCAGGTCATTTTAAATCTTCCTCAGATCCATGAGACTGCCTGGAAAAAAATCCAAACCCACCACCAAAAAGTTAAGTATTGGGAGTGAACACAGCCTGTTTTTGTTGGAGGTAACTGTCTAAAAACACCCAGACACCAGCTTCAGATTACTGCCCAAATTTCAGAAAGAATTACAGAACGCAAGGTGCTGAGATCCTTGCACTCTGTCCCAGATTTTTGTTGTGTCAGGAGGTCCATATTTACTGATTACCTGGCTCTGGCTGACGACTGCCACGTGGAAGTGCCTGTCAGTACATGTCTGCCAGCTATAAGGGTTCTACTGCTGGTACTGATATTTTTGGTTAAAACAGTGAAATGAGGCAAATTAAAAAATACCCAAAACCAACAATTGCTTGGCAGGAGTGAAACCTCTGCAAAAGCAAAATATGCAGTTATATGAATTACTTATTAGTAAATAGAGAATTTGAAATGCTGAATCCAGGCACACAGGAACATCTTGCATCTGCAGGACTAGGACTGGTGACACTTACATGCTACGGCTTCTCAGCCACTCAAATCTCATGCCCACACTTGCTGGCATCTAATGTTATAATTTAGGTCTGAACACTTCCTTATTCTTCTAAAAACAAGGAGCACAAGAGGGAAGATGATACTGCTTCAATTTTAAATGTAGGCAGAATTGCATGTATTTTTTTCCCCTTACTCCTGGTGTCCTTTACTGTTTTTAATCACTTGTACTCACTTACCTTGTTTCCTTTCTTTGTATTGGTTTAATGATAATTCAGAGAAGGTTTGCATTTGTTCCCTTCTCTCGCCCCACCACCCTCTGTCTCATTACTACAATACATTTCTCCTTTTACAGGCAAAGTGCCCTTTATTCATGTGGGAAATCAAGTAGTATCTGAACTTGGGCCCATAGTCCAGTTTGTAAAAGCCAAGGTAATAGCACATTGTTTTTATTAATTAGTGAATGTGAATCCTGCTTAGCATTGCACTGATTTTTTGTGCTTTTCTGGAATGTTACTGAATTTGTTGAAACAATATAGGAATCTAGTGCTATTTTAAGAGAAAGATATAGTGGAACAGGAGTTGGTGAGGTAAAAATGTTTTTCTTTGTAATTTCCTTGAATTCTCCAAGTAAATTCTTTGCAGAATAGCTGCATACCAGTGCCAGTTTCTGGGACTGTTTTCCAATATGCTTTGTCTCTGGGTCCCAGAGGCCTTAAGCCTAGGTTTGACTGTTTTAAATCCTGAAATGTCAGATACCTTTCAACTTTGCCTTTATTC